TTTTAAAGCCATTCCATTCCTTGGGTTGTATCTTAAGTCTCGGCAATTAACAAGAAAGAAATGGAAATGGCTTAAAGAAACCACTAAAGACGAAGGACACTGTTAGGATGTCAACAATTGGCCGAGAAAAGCATTGTTTAAGAGAAACCCAGTTAAGAGAGAGAGAGTCCCAAGTAACCCACGGGAAGTTCGAAAAGGCCTGGAAAGGAGCTTACTTTTGGCCCACTGTGCTAGGCTGAAAAGCTCCGGCATTTTCCGAGCGAGAGAAAGCAGCTTTGGCTGGTCGCCTTCGTTCGGGTGGCTTTCAGAGCGACCTCTCCGAATGGTGTTAACCGGTTCGGAGACCAACCGGGTAAGCGGATAACGGATAGGAATCGTGGCGAGCGCACGGATAAGTGGTACGAAACCAAGACCAGCGAACTCGAACCCAAGTCGAAGTATTAAGTATTAAGCAGTCGTCTCGTTCGGTTCGTTCCCACGGTGAAAGCGTCGAATAGTCCTGTCCGGAGGACAACCTCAATACACCACTCACACACGCACGTACGCGGGACACCCATACACAGGCTGTGTGAACGCGAACGTGAACGGGTGCGGCAACGACAGCGGTTATAGCCGAAAGTAAAAGTTGTTCGATGTGCAATAGCGGTAAATAATAGATGAATCAATGTGAATTATTAGCACGCAATGTGAAAAAAGGAAATATAAAGTAAAAAGTATAAAGCCCGAGTATAGAGAAAGCGGAGCCGTGCGTGCCAGGCTGGAAATTAAATATGCAACACTCGAGTGAAGCCAGCGAAAGTGTGCCACAGTGCCAGCGATCCTTGGGGCGCCCAGGATCCCAAAACTAAATCTCAAAACTTAGTGTTAAAGCCAACCTGCGTCAGCTGTTCCTTGGACTCGATTCTCACCTTTGGCTCGGTCCAGTCAAGGCCACTCGGCGGCTGTGGAATATACATATTTGCCATAAACATCCTCAGAAAAATATACAAAAACATTATTTAACTTTGTTTGCAGTTTGTTCGGCCGCGAAGGTCGTTGTGGAGAGTAACTTTTCGCGGGATGCGAATTTAACAAATAATTATGGAAATATTTCGTGTTGTCTTTTTAAATTCCGCGGAAAATGTTACGATTTTCCTCCTTTTGAACTTTTGCGTTTAAACTTTTTTTTTCGGTTTTGTTTTGGGAGATTCAAGGCCTCTGGCCTCCTTTGGGTCTATAAATTAGGGTCGCATTCTGCTTAACCAGAAAAATTTGCATAAAATTTGGGTGGGCGAGAAATGGTTTAAATACGGGAATCACACGGCTGAGTATCCTACACATGAAGGATCCCAAAGTAAAAAAAAGGGCCAAATGAAATCATTTCTACAGACCTTGAGCCTGCGGATTACCCTTTTCAGTGATAAACCAAACATTCAACTTTTTCTGTCTTGCTAGATTGTATAAAAAAAGTGTAAATTACCTTATGAGCAGAAAAACTTCAAGGCTCGTGAAGCTGTAGCCCCAAAAACTTTTCAACAAACTTAAATTTAATTAAAGTTCAATCAGCAAATCGCAACCGCAAGGACAAAGAGCTGCTGCGGAGAAAAGGTAAGCCTGATTAATTTTATGAGCTAATTATCCGATAATTTCTTATTTTATTGTCTAGTTAACACCGATAATCGAATAAATCGTATATGGGGGAAAAATAGGGAAAATCCCACACAATTGTGTCATCGTTAGGGCAGGTGGGGTGGAGTGGTTTTTCCAGTGGGTGTGGATGAGGAGGCTACTCGGAAAAGCGGAAGCAACGGGTGGCAAGTGTCGGGCTCGTTGTTATATTTGTTTATTGTTTTATTTTTGTTGTTTTACTTTGTTGTGGTCAGCGGTTGGTCAGTGGAGATGGGCTTTAAGTGGTGGGTACGGATTGTCAACTCAATTTAATTATGAAAATTCCGAGAATTGCTTGAAGGTCACACGTATAGGTGGGGGATTTGGCAATCACTTAAAAAAAAAAAAAGGGTGTGAGATGACGTTTTATGATTATGATTATGAAAGGGTTAGCCCCTGCTAATTAAGAACTAAAAAAATAACGTGGATATGGCCATTCATACGTTATGATTTAATCCCATACCACTGTACCAACAAAATACATTACCTTGATTGCCCTACCAATGCCCCATTTTAGCCTTATTCTTGTGGCAAGACCAACAGTGACTAAGAGTCCCTGAAAGGTAAAATCTCAGTATTTTATGCAAAGCATTCCCCGTCGCATGAAGATTGTATTTACCTCTTGCTTTGGCAAGGTCATGTCTTAGGGCTGGAAAATGGAACTTTCTGCTCCAGAAAGTTACCCAAATACATAAATTATTTTTATTGTACTTAACCTTTTTCATTGCCTTGACTTCTCTCCATTCAGATTCTGCCCCAAATCAGCTTAAGTCCCTCGAAAAATTCATAAGCTTACTTTAACATGCGAGAATGCTCTCATGTGTACCCAAATATGAGTTTTTTGTTGGAAAATAAATGAAATATAGAGCACTCTGTCCTAAATAGACATTAACCTAAAGGTTTAGTTAAAGACTAGATCTAGAGGGGGTTATGTTAACTTTAATTTATCTAATTATTCATATATTCATATTCATAAGAATATAATTAAAGTTTGATGTAGTTTATAAATTTAATTGTAATCCCTTTTTAAGCTCTAGTTTCCACTACTCTATCTTTAAACTGAATCGGTTTTCAATTTAGCAAGTTTTTCGGTAATACATGGTTGCATAATAAACTGGAATATTTAATGCGGGAGCCGTATAATATATTTATTGTTTTTGTGCACTTTAGCAACGACAAATTCATTCAATTTGAGTTTTTTGCAAGTCCCCCTGCTCTCTGCTGGAAGCTCTTTGTGAACAGAGTCGCGAGTGAATGAAATATTATGCAAATGTTGAACAAATAGCAGGAAATCAAAAATAAACAAAGGCGGTAATTGTTAAGCGCCAGAAGATGAAAAATAATAGAGGCGCTTGCCACTGCACACAGTCCAAAGACATAATTAAAGCAAAAACATATAGTTGGGTGTTAATCAAACATAATTACTCTGGTCATGCATATTTTATTAATCGGCAAACGGGTGGCACTCGCCAATCACTGGGGCTCTACTTTTGTCCGACTTGGCAGCTGTCACTTTAAATGTCAATGCATCGCCGGGCCGTCAAAAGGTGAGCCTACACTTCAATGGGCCTTGCCAGGGGATAAACTGGTCCGTGGGATGGCGCTTTCAATGGGTGGCTACTCACTTTTTAATGGAAATTATAATGAGACGTCGGGCTTTAATTATGTATGGACTTGGACTTTGGTTCTGGTGGGCGGTAGGATGGTGGGTGGTTGCTAGCAGTGCAGTGGGCGGTTGGTTAGCCGGTCACGCCCTGGCACTTACAACTTAATGCCCAACCATCAGCGTGACGTGCTTAACCCTCGACGGACCTTGGCACTAATTAAAACTAACCACAAGCCACGGCATGGCAGCAATAAAAAGGCACCTGAGAAAAGGAAAAATTACAGGAGGCAGGCATCACCTTGAAGCTCTTCCTATGCCACAGTTTTCGACAGCTCGGTCGGTCCATTGTTGACCGGCAAAGTTTTGTGGCACATTTCTCTCGGATTTGCCACGCATTGATACTCTGCATCTCACGGTTCCTGCCACTGCTGCTGTTGCTGCTGCTGCATATTTTGTCAAGCTCTGACATTGCACTTGATGACTTTCCATCCCCAGAGTGTAATGCTTCCCGGGTGGACAGTTTTGCAGCAATTTTTGTGCAACTTTTAAAGTGCCGGGGGATGCTGAAAACTTTTAGCGAATGCTCCGAGTTCCAGCTAGAGTTCGAGGCTCAGCTCGACAGTTTTAAATGAAACTTTTGCTGTAACTTATACTGCGACGAGTCTGGGTTTTGTTTCACTCTGCCTTTTTTTTATTTCGCCAGTTTCGCCTTTTGTTTAACGCTTTGTGCCCCATTATTTCGGATGCTGTCAGGACTTTGTGTGTCTCCTCTGCCATTGTTTCCCATTCACTTTCCAGCACTAGAGCTTCTGTTTCCATTTGTTTGTGGGTGGCAGTGGGCAGTGGGCGGTGGGTGTCTGGGAAAATGAATAATGAAAGTTGTAAATAGACATAATACGATCAGCGCAGGGAGACATTAGCGAAAAGTTTTATTTGGAAAATGGAATGAAAGTGCTCTCCAGGGTCGTCGAATAAATGCCGATTCGAGCTCGAAATAGTCATGAATTAGCGACGGGTTGTTGCCAAAGTTTTTCATCTTTTTTATCGGGAAAGAATTTATGGAGAAAGTTTAAACCAGAGCTTAGATAAATGAGGTCAAAACGAGAAACCAAAATCGTTATAAATATAACCCCAACAGTCCAAACTGCAGCACCGAAATAGAAATGCCTTTTAGAATTTAAATGAAAATATTGTAGCATGTAGCTGGTCAGCCAGCCATCCCCAATTTGTTCTGAAAAATGCCAGAGGAAATTAGAAATTCCAGAATCCTGCCTCTGGCACTGCCTCTCTTGTTGGCGCATTTAATTTATTATTTGTTGCCTTTAATAAAAATCACATTACGATATTGCCAGCGCAGCGCGAATTTTTGCCTTATCCCCACGAAATTTGCGGATTCTTCGGGAGAAACAGGACAAGGGGAGCATCGGGGGGTTGTCGCCAGTTAGAGAAATACATTCATAAAGGAAACTCAGCCAATCCAACAAGACGAACGAGCCACGCGCCGTCAGATAATGTATATAGGAAGCGAATATCTGTCCCTGGTTTTTGTTTTGTTTCTGCAGGTGGTGCGGGAAGTGGGCGATTTTGGGGCGCCTTTTTGGGGGTCTTTTTGGGTGGTTCTGTTCGGGGAGCAGAGACATCAGCACGTGCCGACCGTGCCACCAACACAAACACACAAATTTCCATTTATTTTGACTTTGACGTTTGAATTTTTAATGAAATTCCAAACATTTTTAACGCCCCGAAACTGTTTTCATTTTCGTTCTGCCCACTTGGCCTTTTATCCCCAGGCAGCTGCCGACCGAATCCTGCAATCCTGGATCGCCGACACCGAACTAATGAAGATGAAGTGATAGCCAGCCGAAATTGTGTTCGCGCCAAAATTAAATAGAATATAAATCGCTGGAAAATGGCGGCGATTTGTCAGCATCTGTCGAGCAGAACAAATGCAAAGTAGTTTCACAACCGAAACCGGAAGAAAACTACAAACCGAATCCAAGAGGAGACTTTTCTGTTGGATCCTTGTTGCTGTGGCAATTTCACGCATTGCGGCGGGATGATGACGGCAGGCGCTAATCAGGCCGCCCCCAGCCACGCCCCCCAGTTATTTCGCTCACATTTTTTCAAATAAGTCCCCCGGATAGGGGACAGTGAAGAGAAGAGAAAGCGAAAGTGTAGGGGCCGAGACGCTCGCAAGTGAAATATTATGGCAACTTTTCAAATGGAAATGCGCCAGCAGCAGCAGCAGCAACGAACGAATTTAAAGCAACGAGCCACGGCAGCGACAACGGCAACGGCAATATCCAAAGCCAGGCAACAACGACAGCAACGGGAGCAAGAGCACTCCAACCCACCAGAAATCAGCACAGATTGCACAAGGCTCTCGCCGAGTAGCAGCAACCCCGCGGGAGGCGACTGCAATACCAAAATCAGCCCACTCACCAGCCATTCCTCCATCGGAATCAGCAGCAGAGGCCCCATCAGCGGTACTGGCTGCAACATTGGCATCCCCGCGGACCGCAGGAGCTGCCAAAGGGGACTGATAATGCTCAGCATGCTTGTGGTTCTCATCGCCTTGATATCCGGCAATGGAGGTAAGAAATACACTTGCAGAAATGTTTACATTTTCTTAATTAGAGGCCTTTTAAATGAAGCTTTTCTGTCAAAGACCTATAAGTATGCAACATTTTTTTAAAATAGGATAACTACATAGCACTATAGGAAATATGACCACTTTTTCTGGCCAAAAATAATATCTCAAGAACGAAACAAGATATTTAAGTTCTGATTTTTGATTTGAGTTCACATGGTCAATAGATTCAAGATTTTAAAAAAATGTGGGCGTGGCACCGCCCACTTTTTCAGAAACACATTCTAACTCAAAAACTAAGCAAGATATTTAAATTTTGATTTTTGATTTGAGTTTATATGGTCAAAAGAACTCAGAAATGAAAAAATTGTGGGCGTGGCACCGCCCCCTATTTAAAAATAACATTCTAACTGTTCGGTGTTGCACTAGTCTCACAGCTAACAGATTCACATTCAAGGTGTTGAGGTTGCCTCCTTAAATTATGAATTTCTTCGAAAGTGCATAAAAGGGCATACTCATATTTCACTCATTTGAAGAAAATTAAACAATCTACAACATGGACTAAATTACATTGTCCGACTCGGCCAGACTTGGTTTAAATCTCTTTTTAAAAATGTGATTTATTTCTAAAAATTTCTTATGCTAGACTGCTTACATTTTCACTTTATTAAAAGGACAACACAAGTTTTTTGGACACTTCACATACACAAACACACAATACAAACCACTTAAAAAAGTATACATTTCAAAACTTTTGATTTTGTCCATAAAATTTTAAGTATTCGTGTTTTTAAAATCGCACCAAAAAATCGTAAATTCTAAGCTCATGTAAATGTTAACATCAACAGCTGTTTTTAACAGCTGTTTTCTTCCCAGTGGCGCCATCTATGAAAATTTCTGGTATGCAACATTAAAAATTAATCTATTGTGAATGATATGCAGTTAAAATTATTTAAATCCTTTAACTTTCAAAAAATGGTTTTTGGCCAGAAAAAGTGGTCAAATTTCCTATAGTGCATAGGAGGATAAAACCTGGAGACTTGCAGATTATTTGTATAAATATTTTATCTATGTTATATTAAAATTTTTAATTAAACCCATATGCCTTTCTCATTTAATATGAAAATTTCTAGCCCCTGTCCTTGTAAGTCTCAGACTTCCACTAACCCACTGATTTAAAAAGTTTGCCTTTTTTGGCCGTAACAAAGTTGCATCCTACATAGTTTTTAGCCATAATCCACCAACAAATTTTGGCCACAGCCACGAGCCAAGCTCATTTTCCATTCCAATCACTGGCTCTCTCCCACTGCCGGCATGGAAAAACGAAAACTTTAATCAAATTTTTGTGCTCCAGTTTCGTTTGTGCTTTTTTTTTCCTATGCGCCCCATTCACAAAATTGCAATTGTTGCCAAATTGATTTGACCAATTTCATTTATTGATTTCGATTTTCGATATCATTCATTGTGGCATTCTGGCCGATGTCATGCCCAAATGAGTCAGCAGAAAGCCCAGAACCAGAGGCAGAACCAGAAACCAAGTCGAACAGAGTAGGGCCAGGCCAGGCCAAATCAAAGCGGAAAATCGAGAGGGAAAATCTATCAGCATCGGGAGCTGGAAAAATGAGAGTGAGCCGCCTTGGCTCGGCAATTTTGTGCCTGTCTGGGCCTGGCTTACATAATTTTCCTTTCGGCCTCTTCTGGTGCTGGTTTTTTCGTTTGGCTTGGTTTGATTTGGTTCGTTTTTTTTTTTGTTCTGTGTTTTCCTGCCTTCTGGGCTGCGTTTTTAGGTTAGGTAATTAATTTTGTGTGCCTGAAAAGTCTTGGGAAATCAATGTTTTGGCCAGGTCGGAGCCGGGGGCCCATTTCCCAGGCGATGGGGATGTTCCCGGCCCTGATTGTGTGGGTGTGAGCCCAGAACCGCCAACGTGTGTGATTGTGTCGGTGTCGACGGCGGTGGTAGGCTTTTATTTGACTTTCATTTTTCATATGCCGTGCGCTGGTGCTGGCTTAATGACGAGCTTGCCTTTGGGCCCAGTTCGACAGGGGCCCAGGAGGCTAGGGCATGGGTGGCGGGAAAGAGGTAAATCATCATTAGGCCCTAATGAACCGGGTAGTCGCGGGCACACGGAACCAGATCGGCAGATAAACATGCTATTGCCAATTCCGATGGTTTGCGAATTCAAATTACCTCTCAAGATTGAAAGATAAACATTAAGGTTTCAGTGTTACTTTAAAGTTTCCAAAGAAAATTAGGCTTCAGGTTATTTTTGAAAATATACATTTTTTTGGGGGGATACGATACTTTAACTTTATTCAAGGTCATGTTGAAACAATAAAAATGAGCCGCAGCTCAGGTTACTTGGGTCAGTTCCTAGAAGCGTTTCGCACAATTTCCCAGATAAATCACCTGTCCAAAAGAACAAAAAGGTCCAGAGGGCGAGTGCGAGAATCCGCAGGAATACTCAATTGGATTTCATGGAATTTTTCCTTCGATACCAACAATGCCCCAGGCTCCATGACAAATGGAAGCCTTTAAATATTTAAACATGGAGAATGCCTTGCGACTTTCGGCAAAGAAATGGTAATTTCCCGGCCGCAATGATTTTTAATTTTTTAAGTGAATTTAAAAATTTAAGCTCTCCTGTCTTGTTCCATTCTAAACAGAACCAACTTGACAGAGCACAGACCCACACGAGGAAGCTAAAAGTTTTGGCATTTCAAATGTTTATGACAACAACAAACACCGCAGTTAATAATAACTGTGCGGGTGTAGGATTTCAGCCCAACACCCAGAAGTCATGGGAAAAAGACAGATATGGGTGGGGAGAGGGAGTCGGGGAACAAGCAGCAGAAGAAGAAGACAAGACAATGCCAAAGTCGAAGACGAAGACGGAGCTACTCCGGGCAGATGAGCAACAGGAACATGCCCTGCGGTCTACTTGTTTTCAAGTTGCTGACGTTGACGTCGACGTAACAAGCCCGGACAACAGCCAGGAGACGGGGTACAGAGGGGCGAAGGACACGGGGCCCAGGACACGGCAAACGGGATACGAGACATGAGACATGAACACGGCAGCGACTGAGAATGCGACCCCGCAACATGACTTGCTGATTTCTGCAGGGCGCTTTTAAGCCAGAAATGAAATGAAGTCGAAAATGAGAGAAAAATAAGAAAGACGATGCATCAAATACTCTTTCTTTTTCAACAAGGATATCGGAAGTTTCTAATTAAATAACATATTTCTAATATTTAATGTAAAAATTATGAGAATGGCACCAAAAATTATCTTGTTAATATAATTAATATATACTATAATATTTTAAACCAAATTCCTTGTTAAAAATTGACAGCATCTTATCACAAAGCAGAGAATCCCCCTAAAAAGAAAGAAATATTTTCGTTTGTGGTCTAATTTATGTTTGGCAGCCAACAGTTGACGTTGCGGTCTTGTGTCCCAGGCAGTCAATTTATTTTAATTTCTGGCCAGAGGCGTTTTATTTATTATCATGTTTGTCCCCCAGCCCGCTGCGGCATTCCAAACCTGCCCCAATCGAGCCAGCTGACACGGGGTGGAGTCAAGTTATTAGCAACATGGCTTGGGTCTTGCCAATTGAAGCCGGCCAGGGGAACGGGACGGCTCCAAAACGCTTGCCTGTCAATAGCAGTTGGCTTAGGGAAAACAGGGATAACTGGAGAGCGGGGGCATAAAAGAGGGCCAAAGGAAGAGCTTGAACCACCGCACGAGGAGCAGATGATGAAGGATATTCGACTTATCTGCTTCTAACATGGCCAACGGGCTCAGGCTGGAGCTGAAGCTGAGCTAATAGTTTTGGCAGTAAACGGGAAGGATTGCGAACAATAGAGACAGGAATAAACTAGAGAAAGAGATGGGGATAATACAGGGATGGGAAGCATGTGGGATGTCCTCGCACATGGACGATGAGCGGAGTAGCATAATACGTGACCAGAACATGGAAACTGCAAGATTTTGTTCAAAGATTATGGTTTGTCATTCGGGATTTATTCTTCAAATTCTAAAAGAACAAAACAAGAGTGTTTTCCACTTAACAGTTTAGTTTCTAAGATTAAGATACTAATAATGGTGTCTAAAGATATATTTGTAAGGATTATATAATATTTGTAGATGAAAATATGACAGAGCTATTGTACTGATAACTATGTATATCGAGTCATTGAAAGCGTATGAGTGATATCTAGCGAATGAGTAATGCAAGTGTTATTAAAAGCGGTAATGAAAAACTCTACACAATTCTGTAAAATTTATTCAAAATCTGTTCTGTACCGTGACTAATCACTGTGACGACACCAAGTGACTGGCAGCATCACAGTTCGATGGCAATGTCTGCGTCTCCGGGCAGCGACGTGCACAACATGTTTAATCTAATAAAGTCGCTAGCCAGTCCTGCCGGCTGCTCTATAAAATATCTGGCTGGGGCTAGTGCCTGCGGAGGAGAGTGTCATAAAAAGACGTTGGCTGCGACGTAATAAGCGTATCAAGTGCCCCCAGTTATCTACGAGAGCCGCACACAGCCAGGATCCTTGGCCCGATCCAGAGTCCTGTGTGTGGTGCGGGTGGGGCTTAGGTTTTGGCCCAGACGCTGTGGCGTCCTCGTAGCTAAGTGATGGATAAATGCCGGATAAAAATTGCTTGTAACTACGAAAACAACCACTTCGCAAACAAACACACCGCACACACTCGCTTGCCGCCGGGTCTGAGCGGGAAAAACATGAAAATTTGATAAACGAAAAAATTGCGAACAAACAAAAAATACGTTAAAATTGTAGGGAACCGAACAAAAAGTTCGACTTACCTCCGCACCACAAAAAACTTTGTTGGCCTTCCCCGAAAAACGGCAACACAAAAAAAAGTTACAAACGTGTGTTCCTGTTGGGGCTTGTATGTGTGCGTAATTCGCTAATTACCTAAATGGCAGCCACAAAAGGTGGCATGGCGGTGGGCGGCATGGTGGCGGCTCTGGGAGTCATGTTGATGGCTGTTAAAAGTTCAACCTAAACGAGTTACAAGGTTTCCCCCATTCGGGATTTAGTTTGTTGTTATGACCATCGATTGCAGGACTTTGTGGCATGCGTTTCCCAGAATGAAACATTTTCCAAAAGTTGAGAGCATTTCCGAAAATTAAAGTGGCCCTAAAACGATGAAGACTAATTCCCTTTACCCTTTCTTCATTTTCAGTGCAAGCCGCCCAGCGGGACTCGTACAAATCGAAGGATATGAGCAGTAGTAATAATGCCATTCCCAGTGGCGCAGGATCTAGTGCTGGCGAAAACGAAGTCACAGGTCCCGCTGGTGTCGCCGGAAGCGGAAGCAGCAACAACAGCAGCGGAAATAACAGAAATGGCCAGGCTACAGTCTCGGAATCCTCCAGCTCCATGACAACCGACGCCAGCCGGAGTACTGCGGGCAGCTCCACCACCATCATGGGCATCCCGAGCAGCAGCCTTCACAAGGCCAGCAGCCAGGCCAGCAGCAACTCCTTCGCCTCCCAGCTGGCCACCGGAATCAGTCGCAACAGCATCGAACTGGAGGAGGCCCGCAATGCAGGTCCCTACTTCGACAAGGCCTTCTCCAAGAACGTCACCGCCCTGCTGGGCAAGACGGCCTACTTGAACTGTCGCGTCAAGAATCTGGGCAACAAAACGGTGAGTAATGCAAGTCCTTCTTGGTTTTCCCGCCATCAATTGACAATTTGCCATGTAATTATCCTGTAATTCCGCTGTCATTGCCATCAAAATGCGATTTGTGCCTGCAGATGATTTTCTGCCCACTCTGCGCTCCTCATTTTAGGCTAATTAGCACGTTGACTGAGCCCATATGAAGGTAGCAGTGGTTTCATTGGTTTTTTTTGGCCTTGCCCTGGCGGAGCTGCTGGCTGGCGGCTAATTGTTCCGCTTGCCAAGGAACAAAATGATTAATTATACCCCAACAGGAAACAGATTTTACTTTATTCAACTTTTCGTCGTGAGCGGAAGGAAGTGCCGCAAACATTTCACAAACACAATCTCCAGCACCACCGCACCACTTCTGCTTCCGGTCGAGGGCTTCACCCACCTGAGCGGCTCTAGCAAAAAACTATTCAAATGAAGGAAAGGTCCTGGAAGGCTTTCGTTTTGTTTTTCTGCCTCTCTCGGCAGGAGTTCTGGGCTCCGTAGTCATTCGGCTTCCGTCACTTCCGGCGGCGTCGCCGACCGGACCGGAGAAGGTCCCTGCCCGTTTTTCCGATAATAATATGTTACATGTCCCGGCATTCTGGGCAGGACCTCCTCTTCCGCCCTGCTCCCATTTTGTACCGAACTTTCTGCCAGGCTGTGATTAGCTCCGGGCTCAGTCCTGTTTGAGTTGCGGTTTCGAAAACTAATTTGCGTGATTATTGAATCGTAGAGGAGGGCGGCACGGGGCAACCTCAATTTGGGGATGGAAGTCCTGGCAAGGGGTCGGGGTTCAACACTTTTCACCTTGCGGTAGGACAACGTAAAAGTTTTCGCTCGAGCATGTGGGACAGGTCAGGCAGGCTCTTTTCCCCGGGGATAACTTCATTAGATGTGTTAAGTGGGATAACTTCATCGATCTGGAGAGCTCTCCCTGTTTCCGGAGGAAAGGATTAATTAATATCAGACTCTTGAGGAAGATGGCGAGCTAGAAAAAAACTTAAAGTTAAGTTAGCTTATGCTAAGTAACTAGTCATCCGTTTCTTTAGCTTCTAAGTTTATTAGTCATTTGCTTTTCTGTTTAAAAAAAAAGATTACTTCCCAGAATTTAATTTTGAAAGGTTGCCCCCAAATTACAGAAAGCAACTGTAAAATATATTCATTAGCTTCGTGTGGCAGCTTAAAATCTAATTAGCTTTCAGTTTTGCGGCTGGCCACAAACGGAGCCACAGAGCCAAAAGCCCCCACCGAAAAAACCACCCACTTCCGCCCGTTTTCACCTTCGACCCAGCGCCACCCACTGCCAGGATCCCACCTGGAGTAATACATCATTGCTGCTGAGATTTGGCAGCATCTGGGTGAAAGTTAAGCTGATGCGGTGGGAAGTGCGATGCCAGGTAGAAGATAAAGAAAAAATCCTTCTGTTTTATGCTCGGGTGTACTTATGGGTGTGTATACCTGTGCTCCCTGCTTCGCACCGTCTATAATGATAAACAGCGAACGGATGTTGATGGTCTCTGCATTATTAATGACGTTTTTCATTTGCGCTTTGCTCGGGGAGAGCTTTATGTTTTAATGCCCGACACATACATACACCCAGATAGCAAATTTTCAGCATTTACGAGTCCAAAGAAATAAAGATGAAAAAATTTAAGGCACGCTGCTGAAAGGTAGAACAAGTAAGGCTCTAAAAGTTTTCATTGGCCATTCTATTTAGTTTTCTTCTTATGGCTTATATATTTTTGTGTCTCTATGACAACTATTTTTTGATCTTGTCCTGCCAGCCTGAGTTCAGGTGCCAAGTAATCTCTCAGTCTATTATCCCCGTGCACTCTTCCAGCTTAACAAATTGAGCTGTAAAATATATTTTCAGATTTTGATGCTCCTCCGGCGAGGGCAGAGCTGAAAATTGCGCGAAAATATGGATGAAAATATTGATATGCTAAAAGAATTTTACGATACTGTAAACACGTTTAATGGGCATAAAAAATCCACGAGCCAGCGAAAATGGGCCAAAATGTGTGCGGTTGCGGGGAAAAGTTGGCTGCCTTCCCACCTACTTTTCCAAGTATCACTGCTCGAGGACTTTTGGTGTTAATTACATGCAACTTTTGCTTAAGCAGCTGTCAAAGTTTACCTTTGTGTCTGCTAACTAACACCTGGTCCATGAACCCACGCCCACCCATCGTTCATTTAGTCGCCCCCCCCCGCCTCGTGCCGGACGAGTTTCTTGTCCATTAACTTTGGCGAAGCCATCTTGGGCGTCGTCGCTCATCGTTAGGCAGGATGTTGCTAAGCTGTTGTCATTGAAATTGAAAATGCTAGCAGCTGACGTATGACACGCAACACAGCCAGGCGTGTCCTGCCACCACCCACCATTCAGTGACTGCCTGGGGGGCAACCCCTAAATCAGCGTCACTTAAAAATGTTGCGCCTCCTGGACAGGGAAAAGTTTGGCATTAAACAGCAGCAGGTGGTTGGTAAGGGTGTTCAGGATACACAGAAAATTAGGACTAGAGGCTTCCTTCACAAATCTCCACATAGATTAAAGCGAGTAATTTGTATTTTTTCTCAGTGCCAGCACGTGTGTGCCTGAGTAACATTCAATTTGTCGGGCCAGGTTGTCTGACAAAGATCTCCATATACTTCACCCGTGTTCTTGGCCTTTCAAACTTTTCTTTACCAAAGCACACAATCACACAGGGCAACATCAACCCCAAAAGAAGTGGAAAAAAAACTGGAGAAAAAATCATATAAAATATTTCGAAATAAATTTGCATTTTACCCGTGTGTGTTTGACATAAAGGGCAACCTCTCTCACTTCTTGTTCATTCAAGCAGCTGCGTATGAAATTGACTTTTTAAACTGTTTCCCCAACAAATGAAATCAGGAAAATCTGAAAATCACAAAATCTGAAATCGTTTGCCTAAACTTTCCGCTTTCTTAACATTTTATAGATGTTGCTTCAGGTGTCGTGGGTGCGACATCGGGACATACACTTGCTAACAGTTGGCCGATACACGTACACGTCAGATCAGCGCTTTCGAGCCATTCATCAACCGCAAACCGAAGACTGGATGCTGCAAATCAAATACCCGCAACATCGCGATTCTGGCATCTACGAGTGCCAGGTATCGACCACTCCCCACATGAGTCACTACATTCATCTGAATGTTGTTGGTAAGTTTCTTCAATAAATAAAGGCTTTTCTTTCTTTATCTTTTTGGTATCTTCCCAATATTTAATAACTATTATTTCTCTTTCTTTCAGAGCCGTCAACGGAAATTATCGGAGCCCCCGATTTGTATATAGAAAGCGGTTCCACCATAAATCTCACCTGTGTCATACTGAACTCGCCAGAGCCACCGGCCTATATCTTCTGGAATCATAATAATGCTGTAAGTTCTGTTCCACTACCCCCAGTCAACCTTAAAACCATTTCCAGGATACGCAATTACTTTGGGGCATCATTATCGCTTCCCTCACTGCTTTTGCAACCCTTTAGTGTTCAATTTAGTAACTTTTAAATTAGCTTTTCCAGGACCAAACTTTTCTCCTTTGGCTCCTTATTTTTTCAGGTTTTTTTTTATATTTGAAAATACTATTTAAGGAAGTGAGCTGAAATAGAACCCAGGGATCTGGGAAAAAAGGGTTCCGGCTTGGGCTTTAAATGGATTTTGGTTTTGTTTGGTCTTGGCCACGTTTTAGTTTCCACTTTAGGTGTTTTCCTCACACTTCGTGCTGTGGCTCTTGGCTTATTGTATTGGGACTCGGCGACTCGGGTTGACGGTCACAGCCATTGTTATGCCTTTTCTATAGAGTCACCGACAAGAATGGAGTAAAAAATGTATTGCCATTAGTGCGGGAGGAGCTCCCTTTTTTACTTGCGCCCCGAACAGATTTAATTTTATTGTTTTGCTTCGGTTTTATTTGCAATCTCTATCCTCTTACTTTGCATATTTTCGCCTTTCTTCCTTCTTATCCCAGCCGGCGCGTCCGTGTCCGCCTCCGTCCCATCCCTCACAGCTCTCACAGATTTTAATTTGCCAAGTGTGCAACAGTGCGTATGCGTAATCTGGACTCGGTTTTATGGCTTAGAAAATGTTATGGCCCCCTGGCCAATTTGTAGAAAAATATTTTATGACTTTCGGAAGTATCCGTCTCATCCGCAGATTATCAACTATGATTCGCCGCGCGGAGGAGTCTCGGTGGTCACCAATAAGGGCGATACGACCACATCGTTCCTCTTAATTAAGTCGGCTCGTCCTTCGGATTCGGGGCATTATCAGTGTAATCCATCAAATGCAAAGCCCAAAAGCGTCACGGTACATGTGCTCAATGGTAAGTAAAATCAACGACATCACACCCACACCACCACAGGACAACAGCATGGCATTAAACAATGGGGGGAAATAAAGGAAAAACACAAAGCCAAGCTGTGCAGAAATGCGAATAAAACAATGGGAAATGCTAATGGGTTACACGATGAGTATTGCCCTGCAGACAGAAAAAAAGTAATGGTTCAAACAGGGACACGGCAAAAAGAAAAAGAAAATTGTGTAACGTAAAAGCATTATAAAAATGGAACATTTTGTGGCTGCGAATAAAAAAAGAGTGTAGGATTTTAAATTGAGTTTTTAGGGGAAAGGACTAAAAAATATTGGAACTAACTATAAACTGAAACACTTATTTTTGCTGAAGAGCAACGCAAGGCCCTCTTAAGTAGCCATTAAGTAAATTCAAGAGAGTCACAGATTACAGTGGCTTAAGGGCAATTGTAGGTACTCGGACTTTAATAATTTAAAAAGTAAACACTCTTTACATCCGAGATGGTTTCAAAAGCTTAGGCGCCAAACTGTGCTGAAGAATTTTCGTCTAAGAACCAGAACGAGATCCAAATCCCTTTAGAGCAGTTAATACCTGCACCCAGACTTGAGTCAGCATATCAATGGCTAAAATCTGTCTAAAGGCAGCCATAGAAATTGCAGCTGCTAAAGCTCCTCGGGCAGCCCGAGAAGTGACACAAAAGCAGATTCAGGCCAGCACAAAAAACAGCACTCAGCTGGGGCGCCAAAGAGTGGAAGATAGAAGGCGGGTCGGAGGGCAGAAGTAAGTAAGCGACGGGGAGGTGACAATAACTATCCGGCAAAGTGTTGTTTAAACTCAGCCTTACTAAGTGAAAACAGCAACACTCCTGCAAGACTGGTACCTGGCGGGGCAGGCAGCGGCATCGACCCGGAAACCATTGGGCAAATATTGATTAGTTTCTCGAAGTGGAAATAGCTGGGGGACAGGTGTCTATTTCAATATTTCCACGTATACTCAGCTAAACCAGATGAGAGCTCGGTTAAGTGAAAACTGCTGAAAGTGGCACGTGAAAATTATCGGAAATGCGGTACGAGCGAAGCTTCTTCCCCTTTCTATATTCTTTTTACTTCTCGAACAGGATAATCATTACAAGCAGAGCCAAGAGCCCCCCTCTTGGCTCTTTTTTCTCATCTACACTGTCTGCCAGCAAGCACTCCGGCTGACTCACATTTTCCGAGGAAATCTAGCCAGGGGGTAAAAACTGAATGCGTGGGGTATACCAACTTTTGGGGAGATTGTGAGTTGTTGAGTAAATTAATAAGAAAGTTTATCAATTTATGCAATTCCAGAAATACATACATGGTTAGTGTCTTTGGGATTTCTTATTTAAAAGGTTAATGTGAATAGCTTATTTAAAAGGCTACACTTCTGTTAATCCCACAAGTTATCGCTTGACAATATTCTTCTTGATAATAATTGTGGCACGAAGTCTTGGTTTAAAGTTAATTGGTAAAAACTTAGTTAAGTCCATGAGGTAGCCAGAATGATACTTTTTGATGCAGATTTTAAGGCATACTAAGGTTATTTTTTATCAGATTTAGAGAAGGATTGCCGTTTTATAATCAGTTCTTCGAGTAGCATCAATCGGCATCAAAATATTGCATAAATGGATTTTGCAAATTTTCGGTCGATTTTTGACGAAAATTGTAATGTTACCTCTTTGAAAAATTTCAAAAATTGGGAAAGATTTTAGTTTGCCAGGTTTTGATTAGAAATGAATCTACACAAAAATACAGGATCAGGAAGGCATAACATTCGACTATCAGACAATTATTAGCCATGTTATGGCTAATTCGCTGAGTGCCTAGGAACTCAAAATGCAGCCAACAGTGCGTATGAGTAATCTATACATTATTTGATTTTTTTGAGAATAATTTTCCTAAAATTTTATTTATGAAAGGGTATCGAAATTCCCTCAACTCTTTAGCTGGCAGTCTGTGCTCTTGGCCTCCTCTTGTCGTATCTGGCACGCGTGCCACATGAAAATTATGTTTATGCTGCGCACCGTGTTCCCCCCTGCTGGATCAACCCATTTTCTAACTGTCGAGAAAAACTCGCCGCAGCAAATGTGAGGCAGGCGGAGAAGGCGAGAAAAGCAGCAGTTGCTGCACGCCACTTCCTTTGCGACTTTCACTAATGTCAAGTTGTCGTCGTTGTCGCAGCAACCGTGTCTGCTAGATAATGTCGCACTCAAACCATGCCACACCACACCCGCTTGCCACACACTCGCACACATACATAATGGGGGTGGTGTGCATGAGGGGTACTCATCCCTGTCAGGTTTTGCGCATGCAGGGCGCGTTGTTTCCGTTAACTGCTTTGGCACACTTGTTTCTGATTATTATTATGTTTCGTCTCTTGTTCTGCTACTTTGGCCATTGTTGTTTGCCGTTACATTTTGTTCAGTACTGTGATGTTTTGTTTTGTTTAGCTTCGGCTTTGTTTGTTGTTGCTATTATGACTCTACTATTATTATATGCCCGTCGACGTTGTTGTCACTCCTGTTGGCATTTAGCTTTTGTTGTCGCCGAGTTGCAGTGCAAAGTTTTCACTCTCGCCCGGGCTTGCATTTCTTCTTTGCTTACTTTGTACATAACTTTGCTTTTTATTGTTTATTGTACCTGCTATGCACACAGATACTTTTACCCACCCACACACCCACACCCGGGGAATTGGGTCCTGGTTTGGCTTGCCGCACCAGCAGCGACATCGATGGGGTCAGAGTTTTCGGTCGGGTACTCTTTCAGGTTTCCAGGACTTCAGACTTTCAGGCTTTCAGTTTCAACCGAAGCTTAAAAGTCAGAGGAGCAAGGACGAAGGTCTTGGGTATTAAAGTTCATGCTGAGACCCAGTCAAGACTTTTCGTAAAATTGATTTAAAGTTGTATATTTTTTGAATATTTTATGATCTCTACTATTTCTATAAGTCCTGCCGGCAAGAATGGAATTTTTATAAAAACCGATAGAAAAAATAGATCCTTGCCTTCTTGAACTCCAACACAACTAAGCCTTGCTTGCCAGACTCTGAAATGAAAACCCGCAAGTTGCACTTACATTTGTGCCTTTGTACCTCTATTTGGCTTAGTCACTTGCCAACAATTGTTGCCACTACCTGGTTTTGTTTCAGCAGCCACCTTTATTCCCTTCCAGAATCGGGGTGTATTCTTTATGTAAGTTTGTTTGGTTGTTTGTTCGTTTGTTGTTTTGACTCTTGCGACAATCTTGATATTGTTTTGTAGCTTTCTGTTTATCTGTGCAGTTTTATTGTTCGACAGCTTCTCGTCCTGCCGCCAACAGTTTCCCGCTTGTGGTGCGAACTGGTAATCCGGTTAGTGTTGGGGGGCTTAAGCGGATTTCAGCCAAGAGATGCATGTTGGGGGAAAACACTCTATGTTTTCTATTTTAAATGTACACTTCAAGAGACTTATTGGGGGAAATTGGGGCATTAAATTGTAAATATTTGAGTGGCTAACTAACAGGTTAATAAATTGAAACAGTAAAAAACGAAGTGCACTTATACAGATTCTGATATTGCTACTTTTTTAAAAACTCCATATACACATTCGAAACACAGAACTTAACGACTTTTCAGGTTGCCCAATGTCTGAGTATGAGAACAGCAATAAAGATGTAAATTAAACAGGTGTTTCCCATTCCGTTTCCAGGGGAGTTCCCAGCAGCAATGCAGCACGCGGCACGAGTTCATCCTCACCCCTCGCCCACTCGCTGTCTCTTTGTGTACCTGTTTGTGTGCTTCTGCAGCTGGGCGCTTGCCGGTGGCTGGCAGCACTGCTGGGCGCAGCCCTCGGCCACCCGCCAGCACCCCAACGCTCCAGCTCCAGTCCGACCGGAGGCAAGGAGACGCCGGGAGGGGCAGGAACTAGAGCGCCAGGACATGCGCCACTCACCGGCGACATGCGACATTTCCTCGAGTGCGTTTTGAGATGGCAATGGCGTTGGGGCTGGTGTTGGTGTTGGCGCTGGAAGAGGCATTGGATGAGTACACAGGAGCAGCTCGTGCAGCATCAGCCACATCTGCCACATCAACTGAAACTACAATCAAGACAGGAGGCGGCAACGTGTAGGCAGCTTTTCGAGGCGGACATAAGGTGAGCGCATGTCCTCCCAACCCTCTGAAGGCCACTCTAAACTCTACAACACAACTGTAACTATAATAACTTTAAAGTATACATAACATAATTCTATTGGCTATTGCGTTTTTCTATGAATCAGCGACGTATACGTAATATTTAGCACAAAAACGTGAAAGAAGAATACATCTAAATAACTATAGTTGAAACTAAAATCAAGCCAAGTTGTCGCCTTTTTATGTACGACTTTGTATCATACAATGAAGCTATCTAAGTCCTTGGTTCACCTGAATTGGAAATTGTGTAAATAGGCTGCATAGCATACCTAGAGGCGCTTTTTCAATCGACTCTCCTTCAGCATTCGAAATTGTTCATAGTGACTAGCTAAACACTAGCTGAAAGCCCCCCTTCTAAAGTAGAGAGACTCAAACACTGCTCAACACAGCATCAAAGACGAGGAAAACAAAAAGAAAAGATAAATATTTTCTAGCAAATATCAAAACAGGAAACGCTTCTCGACTGCCACTTTGTGACTGCTCCCCTCGAAGGCAATGCGAAAACCCTCATTTGCATTTTGTGAAATCCTAATAGACAGATAAATGTTTAACCGAAAGGCAATTAGCAAACGCAAACTAAAAAATATTCCACTTCAACTACAGGCTAAAGCAAAATAAAGAAAACCCATAAAATGAAATACTAGAAATTAAATGGAAAAAAACTGTGTAATATATAAAAGAAACGTAAACCTAAAAGAGGAAATTTAGCTACAAGTTAAAGCAAAATAAAGTAAAGGGAGGGTGGCACCGAGTTGTTTCCTACAACTCGTTGAGGAAATTCTTCTTTTGGCTGCATCTGAATGGTTAGAAAATAAGTCATAAAGTATGATATATAAAGAGAATCCCTCGAATAAGTTGTTTCGTTTCGTTCTCGTGTAATGTACAAAATGAATAAGAGTAAGTATTACCCAACGTGCAGGGGAAAGGTTTGAATTTAGGATACAATCGGCATAGATGGAAATTGTTGCACATTTCATAAATTTATTTGTTGTTACTCAATGCGAAAAGTTAGTCAAGTGTTAAAGGAACAAACTGAAAATACAAACTATCGAAGGAGCGATGGCTCACAAGAATTTAATATCTAACGAAAAGATTAAATTTCTATGATTGTTCTAAGGTTCCTCGGTCTATTTTTCATTCGTCCTTCGGACTATTATTATTCATTTTCCACTTCCCGTTTCACATTTTGACCCTTTGGTTACGCCGTTCTGAAACTCAAAGCTTTTGTCTGACTATTTTAGCCATCACTCCAAACTTTTGCCATAGAGCACATAAAACTATCCGTAAACATAAAAGGCAAATAAAATCCAAACGTTACAGAAAAACAAAACAAAGCATATTGATAGAAATTAAAGTAAACGACAAAGTTTCATTAATCAAGCTAAGCATTAAGCGAAAATAAAACTAAACAAGGATAACAGGCAGCAAAACTATTTAAATCCATCATGAGTATTAAGAGGCTAGCCCAAACCCAAATACCAACCCCAACCGGACATACATATTTTCCATAAGCTTTTTTCCAATTACCATGTAAATTATCAACAAAGCAAATACACATTCAATTTATATTCATATAAAATTTCATGCAAATAATTCTCTGAAATTGTCCAGGATGAAAGTATGGAAGAGGCGAATTCAAATTAGAATTCCAAATGTGTTTGATGAGGCGTTTTATGGTTATTCGGTGTTTATTGCAAAAATGTTGTCAAACTGTTGACTCCCGTCGATCACATTCGCACAAAAATTTCCTTTGTGTCCTGTGACACCTTAATGTGGTTACACATCACTCAGCTCGCTACATTCTGTCTAAATTTCCGACTTCACAGGCCATTCCCAGCGGCTGTAAGTTCTTTAATCTAAGCAAGTCATTAAATGAAAACTAAGAGACCGCGTAAAACTGAAGTAAATACTGTATATGTAAATGTGTATTTATAAATTATTATAAAAGAAAAGCTATATATATTAAACATAGTTTATTTAACACACAAAAACACGAACCCCAAAACCCGAAAATAAAATCTACAGTGTTATTAAGGCTAAACGAAATCGTAACATTTGAAAGTAACCTTCAATTAAATATGAGCCACACAAGATACGATAAACCGAAATATAAATTCCGAGCGAAACATAAATCTTTTAAAAGTGTAAGGATAAAAAAACAAAAATGTGAAAAAAACGAATGAATGAGAAACCTGCAAATAAAAGACGAAAAAAAAAATAAATAAAAACTAAAAGAAACTAAAGCATATTATGTCAACTGTTAATTGAGTTGTTTTAATGGTCAAGCTGGGCTGGCAGAGCTGGCTGGATGGAGGGTTAATGGCCCAAAAAATGGGTAATAAATTATGCGTAAGTAAAAGTGAGACTGAAACTTAGGCAAACACTGGCAGGTCTACAACTAAATGCGGGCTGAACAAAGGCCAACCCATTTTTCATGCCCCGAACAAACGAGGCGCCTGCAAGGGGGATGCAAGATGTAGCATAAGCGATAATATAATGAAATGGGATTAATCATACGACATGTAGGCCAGCCCGGTGGGAGGCATAATGAATGCCGAGTCCTAGCAGCACATTACACACACATTTGCTAGCCTGACATGATGTTGGCCCGAAACTCTGCCTCCCCTCGCCCATCTCTACCACCCTGCTGTCATAATTTAGAGTCCTTACGCTGTTACGTGCCATTACGTTACGTGGTGTGGCCTTACGTTTCAGCGTCGTTCGTTTTTAATAAATATTAGCACATAGTTAAACAGTTGAGCGAGCGCTGATGGAAAATCAATAAATAAAGCCATCCTACCCCTCTTTCCATCTCACGTTTCCCTCAGCGCTAATGGACGCAGGAAAGTATGCTACATATATTTTATTGATGAAAAGTTGCCTGCAGAGGGAGAGAAAGGGCGAGTCCGGGTCGGACTTCATGCAAAACCACTCAAGGACAAGTGGGCAATAAGCGAAAAACTTTTATTGTTTTATGTCGACAAAAGTTTCCGCTTTCCCACTACGAGTACATGTGGCCCGTTTGTTGTTGCTACCCGACACGACAACAAATACTACAGAGGCTGCAGCAGTGGAGCAACATCATCATAGTTTTTCATATATTATGTGTCCAGCCGTATAATGTTCTCTCCCGTATGCATGACTTTGGCTCCCCGCCCCCATCACTCCTATCCATGTGTAATTTGACAATTTCGGAATGCATTTCGCCAATGGAATGTTTCGGCACATTTGGGCGAAAGTGGGCGTGGAGCAGAGGTGGGACATTACTGCATACCCGCATTATAATGCATCAGTCGCACGTCGCTCCAGGTGTTAATAGTCTGTTTATAGATGTGGCGCAATGTGCGAATGCTGCGCCAGTTGCAGCAATAGAATGTGGTCTTGCAGTAGTTGGTTTTCGGCACTCCGCAGTGGGGCACGAAATTAAACTTTGAACTCATTTAGTTGGTGATCCGTCGCAGATAATTACTAATCTGATCCAGACTATCATGCTTTACATACCAAAACGACAGTGTACATTTTCCTGGCCTGGTTTCCCATAGCCACTCTGAGTGCACTCAGGTAGTTTATTTTGGTCCAAGGTCGTTGTTAAAAATCCATATGTTAATACGGACAGCGAAGGGCTTTCCATATAGTGGAGATTGTGCCAATGGAGCATCCACCATCCGCCAGGATACTCACTCAGCGCCCCGTCATCAGTCAGTCGGTCAATTTATCCATACCAACGAGGGAAAAATGACAAAAATGTGGCTGCCACACGCGCTGTGCAATGCCACGGCGGGTGCTGCAGTTTATGACCGCAATACATTTCGGTGAAGCTCCACTTCTCACCGCCACTAACCGTGTCTTTCAGTCTGTTGGTTGCTCTTTAGGGCCCTCGCTCTCTCGGTCGAAAAGTTATTGAATTGTTACAGCAGCCACTTGTGATAAATCATTGACAAGGCAGCCGGCAAAATCCATGCGTAATAAATGACGGGAGTGAAGGAGCAGCGAGGACGGTCTGCGGTTTATTTAATTTGCCATAAATAAATATGCTCCAGAGAGTTGGCCATCGTAAACGCCATCACTCAGCAGATTGATTCAGGGCGAGACCGAGACCATTGCTTAATTAAGGCAAAGCTGTAGGTCCTTTTCCGATTTCCATCTGCAACGGCCGAAAAGCACACAAGCCGCCCTCACCAAAACTATTTTATTAGATTTTTCGCCCAGCTGGCCAGCCCGGAGATAATCAGTATTAAAATATGTTATGAGTGTGGAGAGAGAAAAGTTGCATGCAGGGTCCTTGTGGCATGAAAACTGCAACGATCAACTCTTATTGGTTTAAGTGGCCTGCTGTTTGAGAGTGGGTCTGCATAAATACTAAGGCCTGTACGCTTACGTGTGTACAGACATTTATTACGGCCCGTAATCCGCAAAGTCTTATGCGTGTCTGTTCTGTCTAACCCCACCCTCCGGGCTCTGCCCCCTAATCCACCCCTTAGACCATATGTGCTCTGCCCACAAATGGAACTATAATTAAATTAAAAGTTTTGCCAGCAGTTGCAAGCAGCAGAGAATGCAGAAGAAAAAAGAGTAGCCAGAGCCCAGAGAAATTCCAACTCATATTAAAAGGAAATTATAGAGCAGAAACCGCACCAATACACACTGAAGGAGCTAAATACGCTTTGTTGCGGTCATTGGCCCAACACGTCGTATACTTAACGTGCTAAGCTGTTTTTCGGATTATCCGCCGAGTGGTTTAGCGAATTGGATCGCGAGGGGTGAATAGGTTAATGATAAAAAGAAAAAACCAAGAATAAGTTAAGGAAAATAGAAAAGGGCATACAGTCTTTCCAGTTGTGGTTTGCTGCAGGTCTTCCATTGCAAGTGCTTTTGGTAAAATACTATTACACTAAATAGTTTTTTCTATCCCCTCAAATAACTGATAAATGACTGAAATTGTTTGCTGACACTCTTAAATTATTGCCAAATATCTGACAGCTCAGATTTATATTTCAATCGTTTGGTTTTCATGCATTTCACAGTTCTCTTTCTAAAAACAAATTAGTTTTTACTCGAAAATCCACAAAGTGTAATTTTACAAGCACTTAAATCCGAGCCGGCAACAGATGCAGCTTCTGCCTGTAGCTTTGGGGGCGTGGCAAAGCGGATTATGGCCCGAAAGGACCACGGCAACATCAGGACCAAAAATATGGACTTAGTCCGACCAGCACTTGGCCTCCTCCCGGTTTTCTAGAGTGGCCTAGTGCAAGTGGAATCATTTCATTATTTCTTTTCCATCTATTTTTGTTTTTCGAAAGAAAACTTTTCCCAAAGGAGGAGGCAGCCCGGAGGTGGGGCAACTTGATCATATATTTGGAAGAAGTTTTAGAGTGGCAGCTTAGCACTGATGTGCAGATACTCTTGTGATAGTAAACAAAATATTTTATCAGTTCTTTGAGGAGTTTTCTTGGAAAGTAGGAAATAAAAACTATATACCATCCAATGCCCATGTCCACTCTTATGATAAATTATAATACCCTCTGCCAGAGTATCAAAATGGCATTTCCTGTTGTCTAAACATGCTTCCCTTCTTTATCCCTAAAATGCATATATTGTTGCTGTTGTACATATTGTTCTCGGCATAAAGGTTCTCCCAGAATAAGGGTCAGTTTTAAGCTGGGGGCGGGTCTATTTTTACGTTTTCTGGCCAGGCTGCTTCTTGTTGCAACTAGATACAGACATCGAGATATGAAACTGCCGCCCAAGTGTGCGGCTATAAATACATATGTTTTAATTTCCGCACTTTTGGGTCAGCCTGGGATCTGAGCCAGTTCCTTGCATCTGGCTCGATTCAGCAGCCATGTCGAAATGAGGTTCGGATTAAAGGCGGATGTGAATGTTGCGTGTTTCCGTTTCTACAAACGCAGACCCCTTCCCCCACGCCTCTTGTTTGTATTTATGAGCCGGGACATTTCAGAAAGGGCCGGTAAGGGATAAACCAGACTGGCCACTCGCATCCGTTGCAAGTTTTTATTTTTTTCGATTTTGTGTTTATGTTTTTATGCGCACTTCAACGGCATGAATGTCCAATAACAGAAGAACAACCCAAACACACACAGGGCATACAACACCCACCCACACATCCCCACTTTCATAAACATAATCATGTGGCATACGACAACAGCAACCCAAAAAACATTCATCGATCCTTCCTGGCTGCCTCTCATTTCTTTTCAGTCGCTCGCCTCGCACAACTCGGTTAAATGACTCATGAAATTGCCGCTGCGACCCATTTTGTATTTGTGTTTGTGGATCCTTGTTCGTGTGTTTGTATGCCATATATGTACGTGGGACGGGTGTGTGTGTTAGTTTCAAGTGCTCGTTTATGGCAAAGCAATATTGTTTGGCAGGACTGCGGCTCACGCTGCCGTTCGGTTAATAATTTAGGCTTAAATACATACAAGCAACTCTGGCACATTGCGTATACGCCATGCTGGACATTTTGCCAAACTGTTGACACGTGCAAACACACACCCGCACCCGCACCACACACCCCAAACTACACACCCATCTGCGCATTACATGGAAGTGTAGGCCTAAAGTAGCCGCAAAGCCAATTGTCGGAGCGACGGAGGCTGCCACTTCGAGGGAGTGGCAAATAAATCAAAGCGTGCAGAAGGTGGAAATGCAAGGGTGCGGGCGTGTTAAGTGGGCTCAAGACAGGGTTGATTGAGCGCGAACTTTGGCCAAGTTAAGAGTGGGTGGTACGGGGCTGCAGATGAAAGTTTACCTTTCCACCTCCAAAAACTCCTCTCGGCTGTTTAAGCCACTTAAATGTAAATACAATTTCGACAAACACAAAATAAATCCAGTAGAGTGTACTCAACATATTTCTATGATGGGGACAGAGAACCAACCCCTACTACTCTTTGAAGGGAAAATGTTTCAATTCTGTGGGAAATATTTAAAGAGATCTAAAATTAAAGTTAGGCAGATGTGGTTTAAAACTTTTATTAAGGGTTGTATTATAAATTATTCCTTTTACTTAAAAAATAAGATTGCTTTTAGATTAATAACTTTCAGTTAATAAATCAAATGAGAAATCTGTACTACTTTGTATTGTTGACAAATAAGCATTAAAAGGAACAATTTTAGAAAATTCTTTTCCACTTTTTTTGGTTAAGTTGTCCATCTTTTTTTAGGCTCTGGCCGCCAACTGAGCCATAAAGTATGTATGTGTGTGCAAAACCCAACGAAAATCC